CTTCTCAGATTAAGCCTGTAGCCCCATCACAAAATTACCATAATTACTCACATATTAAAAATTGTGACAGATACATGTCACCCACTTTATGTATTTACTTAAGTATTGTTGAATTATGAGTACTTCTATTTCAGATGTCTCCAAATATATAGGAGTAATCTCTCCAACTCAACATTTGAATATTCAAGTTACTCAAATTACTCTGATTATGTGATAATAAGTTTAGGAATTTGGCATTGATATAACCCTCTTGAGTAAATCCAGACTCTTTAACTCCCTGGCTTTAAGATCCTGGGCAAATCATTGATATCTCTGTACCTCAGGCTCTTTTACAAAATAAGGCTACAACTTCATAGCTATTGTTATGATGTTTATGTAAATATGATGCTTATGTGCTTATCACAGGAAACATGAGAAGTACTGAGCAAATAGATTGGTTAACCTTATTACTAGTGAATTATTTCAGTCTTTATCTTAGTTACTATTTTCTCGGGCCTTTTTTTCCTTGTTGTTCCCTTTTTCACTTTAGCAAGAGTGACTGTGGTGCTTATGTTTGTGTATTCTAATTCAAGAAACCTTTACACTGGCACAGAGAAGCCCCCAGACAAACCCTCTTTGCTCAAGCTTAACCACTGACATGCCACATCATTTCTACAATGAATTTAATTTCAAAGAAACAATAAGAGGAGAACAGCTGAGAAAGATGTGACTAGGCAACAGTTGGCATGGAAAGAAAAATGCCTTAAGATAGTTGATGTTTATAAGTTTGGTCCAGTTTTGACAATGTTCTCATTGGTGTGTGAAGGCATAGTGATAGATCTGGGTGTTAAGATTAAATAGTTTTTGTTTTGTTTTGTTTTTTGCTTTGAACAGAAGAGTACAAACTGCACTTGAAACAGTGTGTTCTGTCCTGGATTTCACAGTAATGAGGAACATAAACAGAATTGAGTTTTTGCTCCAATTGGCAGAGTCTCTGTGTTTTTTAATCACTAAAAAAACATTTTAATGAAAAATTTTAAACATCCAGTAATGTTAAAATAATTTAATAGTGAACCCCTATAAACCTACCACCTAGATCATGCCATTACTATCTTACTATACTTCTCTTGTAAGATATCTCTCCATCTATCCATTAATTCACTTTTAATGCAGTTGAAAGTAAATTGCAGGCATCAGTACCCTTCCTTCTAAAAACTTCACTGTCATATTTAAGACTACATTATATGTTTACGTTCTTTTGGTGTAAAATTTGCAAAGCGTGATATGCATTAATCCTAAGTATGTTCACTGAGGTTTGACATATATATACATCTCAGTCAGAACTTCTATATTTTGACTGTTGATTTTTTGTGACTTGCCTCTATTTTCTAAGAAATATAATGTAGTTTATCGTTCATATACTTTCTTTTATAAATGTAGTTTATCGTTCATATACTTTCTTTTCATCTTCAAAGAATAGCTTAGAACTAGACAAGAGTTAATATTTTGATCATTTATTCAGTTAAGGCACCTGAAATAGGCTGTGAAAGAAGTGGTAGTCATAAGGCATAGATAAGAGATTATATGAGGAAAAAAGGGGAGGGAGAGTGGCAGAAGGAGACACAGAGGAATTCTAAGCAGGACACAGCCAGGTGGCGGAAGTACACTGTTAGTGTGGACAACTGACAGGAAGCTGGCCTGGCTGGAGGGGGCAGCTCCAAGAGGAGAGAGGTGGAGTAGGCCACGTCGAGAGGCTGTACTTTTAAAATGGTTTAAACTTTGTCATAAGTATGTATGTGTAGAAAAAACAGTTTATATAGGGTTTGGTAGTATCTGCAGTTTCAGGCATCTCCTGGGGGTCTTGGAACATATGCCCTATAGATAAGAGGTGACTACTGTATAAATGAAAAAAAAGTCACTTAGGAATTTTAAAAAATGACAAATGAACAAAAGATAGACATTTAAAAACTACCGGAATACTGAGAAAAGAACAAAAATATCCTGAGCAGTGAAGAAAGTATAATGCTGAAACTGATGACAGCATAATAATGTCACTAATTTGTTTTAAATTTGATTCTTCAATTACAGTTGACACACAATATTATATTAGTTTCAGGTGTATAACATAGTGATTAGATATTTATAAAACTTATGAAATGATCATCCCAATAAGTCTAGTACCCATCTGACACCATACAGTTATTACAATATAATTGACTATATTCCTTATGCTATACTTTACATCCCCATGACATTTTGTAACTATCAATTTGTGCTTCCACCCTCTCAACCTCCTTCCCATCTGGCAACCATCAAGTTGTTCTCTGTATTTATGAGTTTGTTTCTGTTTTGTTTGTTTTGTCCTCTAGATTCCACATGTAAGTGAAATCATAGGGCATTTGTCTTTCTCCGTCTGATTTACTCTACTCAGCACAATACCCTCTATGTCCATCCTTGTTGTTGCAGATGGCAAGATTTCATTCTTTTAATGGTTGAGTAATATTTCATTGTATATATGTACCACCTCTTCTTTATCCATTCATTCATTGATGGACACGCAGGTTGCCTCCGTATCTTGGCTATTGTATGTAAATAATGAACATATGGATTCACATGTGCCTTCGAGGTAGAATTTTGGGTTTCTTCATATAAATACCCAGAAGTGGGATTACTGGGTCCTTCTTTGTCTCCAGTTATAGCCTTTGTTTTAAAGTCAATATTGTCTGGTATAAGTATCGCTACCCAGTTTTTGTTTGTTTATTTGTTTCCATTTTCATGAAAGATCTTTTTCCATCTCTTTACTTTTAGTCTGTGTGTGTCTCTCAACCTGAAGTGAGTCTCTTGGAGGCGGTATATGTAAGGGTCTTCTTTTTTTTAATCCATTCAGCTACCCTATCTTTTGATTGGAGCATTTAATCCATTTACATTTAAATTAATTGTTGATAGATATATAGTTATTGCTATTTTATTATTCATATTTTTGATCTTTTCTTCTTCTTCTTAAAGAGGTTCCTCTAACATTTTTTGCAGTACTGGTTTGGTGATGATGAACTCTAGCTTTTTCTTGTCTGAGAAGATCTTTATCTGATCTTCGATTCTAAATGATAGTAACAGCTACTGATTTTTGAGCTCTTGTTATCTATTAAAGACTATTTAAGTGCTTACATGCATTCTTTTCTTAATCTTCACAATAAATTTAGGATGTAGATACTAGTATCCCCATTTTACAGATGAGTAAATCAAAATGGAAAGAAGTCGAATGACTTGTTCAAAACACATAGCTTATGTCAGAGCAGTGACTCGCATTTTGGTTAGTATGACTCAGAGATCCTACCTCTTATAATTGCCTTATCCTAATTATATATCATGTGTTTGTTTTGTTTGTTTTGTTTTGTTTGCCAGCAAGGGGAATAGTCTTTAAACATGGAAGAGCACCGATTCCACATTTAAAGGAGTACAAGGTATATTTTAAAAGCAAAAACCTTAATAATAACTCCAAAGTCTTTCATGGTTTGGATTCATTCTTCTCTGACCTTATTACCTATTATTTGCCCACTCACTCACTCTTCTCCAGTCACGTTGCTTCCATGGTGAACCTTGAACAAATCAGGCATGTTCTAGATTGAAGGGCTGTGTTCTAGCTCTAACTTTTGCTCTTCTCCAGGTTATTGGCTTGGCCAACTCCCTCATCTCCATGTCTTCCCAGTAAGAACTTTTCTTAGTACTGGATTGGCCTGACTTAGTACTGCAACTGGCCACCACCTCTCCCAAAGCATTACTATGTCATTTATTTGTTTATTATGTTTATTGTTTTTGTCTGTTTCTCCCTGCTAGAATGTAAATTATATTAATATAGGGATTCTTTGTTCTCCTCAACCCCACCCATAACTGTATCCCCAGCACCTAGAAGAGAGCCTGCCGTTGAGTAGGCATCCAGTAAATGTTTGTTCTAGGTTATTACCTAGTAAATGCATCTAGAGATGTCTTCTGTGTGAGCTGACCCATAAATACATGCTCTATAGCATGGAAGTACTCAGAGTCCAGAGTGCTAACCATTATATTGTAGAACCAGCATGGAAGTACTCAAAGGAAGACTTCCCAAGACTTCTATCTGGATTACTCAGAATAAGATATTTATGTATCCAACTTGTCTTCATAGGATTGAGTCAGCTAAGTGGAGACTGAATTGGTTATCAAAAGAGCTGTGTTATAACCTTGATTCTTCTAACTAGAGTTTTTTCTTTGGCAGCAATTAATTAAATTTTCTCTGGGCCTTAAGATTCCTCACATTTCATCCAGTTCTCTCATTCCATGATTAAGACCAATTACTGCGTTCTCTAAATATATACGCTCTTAGAGACTTTGCATTTATTCACTATTTATTAGATATTTACTATTTATTGAATATTTATTCGCTCTTTCTATCTGCTAGACTCCATGATATTGCTGGAAAACAAATAATGGATGTCTTAGTATGTAATCCAAAGCCACCATTTCACAGAGATGAAAAAACTATGGTCCAGAGAGGGTAAATGTTTTATTTTTAGATAAAGCACTTTTCCTAAAATTGGGAAGAACCAATATTTCCTGACCTAACACTTAAATAGTAGATACTGTAAAATAATTATAAGCACATTATATATTTATGTCGTTAAAATTTTTTCATTATCCACATGGAAATTCCAAGAATAAGAGAGGAGAAGGGATTTTCTTAAGATCTCACAGTGACTTTAGGGTTGATTTAGATCAGAAAAACAGGTTATGTTAAGTCAATTATTCCATATTGTATCTATGGGTTTTCTTAATCTCAAAGTAAAAACATCCTCCAGGTTTCTGCAGAATTTCTTTTATTGTCAAGCGAATCGAGGAAAAAAGATGTACATTGAACTTCCCAAGACCCAAGCAGAGTAGAAGCTGTGTTTTCGTAAATTTAAAGAATCTGCTAGTGAAAAATAAAAGCAGAAGCAAGAAAAGAAGGATGAGAGAGAGCTGGCGAGTCAGCACAAAACACCGGCTTTAATTCAGCATTTTCCATAATGCTTTAGGTTGATCTTCCCACCACTTTTCCTATAAAAGAGAAAGACAAATATAAGCTCAGTGCAATATCGATAGTATCCATCACAGAGGTTGGAAAAGGTGTCTCATAGTCCATGCAAATATTTGATTCTACAGGTATACATGTCTACAATTTGGCAGAGGTTAATTAAATTCACTCAGAGGTAACGTTTGGCCTAATTACAGAAAGCATGAGTCTTAAACAAAGAAATATCAGAATTTTAATAAGGCTTAGACCTTTCAATTTAGTTTTTCCTTCTCTGAGAGAAAATATAGATAGATGAGAGAGAGAGAAAGAGAGGGGGTGGAGAGAGACAGAGAGAGAGAGAGAGAGAGAGAGAAAGAGAGAGAGCGACCGATAGAGGAGAGAAATATCTGGTAAAGGTAAAAGTGACAGGAGGAATAAGGGTAATGAGACTATAATGTTTTCTGTCCTGATAGAAGATGTAAGAAGTTAAACCAAATATTCAGGCACTTGGCATTTTATAGCAGATGATATATACAGGCCTTCTCAGTAATAAGTGTCTATCAAATCTCAAGTTACCCTACTGTCCCTCTCCTGGGAAAAATTTGATATTAATTAGTTACATATGTTATATGTAAATGAAGGCACATGTTTATTATGTATTGATTCAATGTTTATTAATTCAATTCTATGTGCTTGGTCCAGTTATTATTAATAGAGAGTTATATAATCACTGTGCTTAGGAATTTTATGGCAAAGTTGAAGGAAATTAAGATATTCTTAGAAAAAATTCTAATGCAAGAAAATGAAGACAGTGGTGAAGAAGTGAGGTTGTTTTTATCTGGTTTAAACAAAATTAAAATTCCTTTTATTTTAGAGCAATCAGACTAAAAGACGGATTGATTTTTATTAATTATAAGCTATATCCCATTAGGAAGTTGGTTAAAATCTACAGTATCTGTTCTGTTCCTTATAAACATGTAAATTTAATAAATATTGACCCTTGATAGAATCTTCTTAGTATACTATCTGTAAAGTTTGGATTATCTGGATAATAAAGAATGATCCTCTTATTTATTCTTTGTTGAGAGGCTCTTTTCATAAGACTAAAGGAGAGAAACGAATGGGAATTGGTGCCTTAGCAACATAGAATTTGTTATAAATAAAATGTCTGAAAATAGTGTGGGTAAAATAATATTTTTATTGGTAATAAATTTCCTCAGAAGGTTTTCATGTTTCTAACTGATGAATTTTCAAACTTAACTACATTACTAAAATTTTTCTTCATCTTCTCTAAAATTAATAATAATGTAATAATAACAAAAATAAAATTGGATAAACATTATTAAAATTTTTAATTAGAAATAAATGGGAAAAATAAGAAAATGTATCAAAAATTTTAAAGATATATAATTTTAAAAATAATTTCTCTAAGATGAGTCAAATTTAATAATAACGAAATAATGATTATGTTTTCAAATAATTTATTATGTAAATTTTTTATCTGTTTTGACCTATTTGTTTTCAATCCATTTTGCTGAGGCTTATTTCTTCAGTCTCCACGAGTGGGTGTGAGTAGAATGTGTTAGAATATCTCAAGGTAAGTGTCGTTGTCTTATTCTGAAATTTCGTGATTGTAAGGGACAGGTTTGGTGAGTGTGATACTTACGCCACCGCCTTACAGAAGGCACATTTGTTGCCATATGTCTGGCCATCAGAGCCACAGTGGGGATTAGATTCCCGGGTGCAGTAGACCTTAGGGTCCCGGAACTCGCCACAGTCAACCTACCAAAGTAAGCACAGTAGCATGGACATTAGTGCACTCTGCAGAAGGGACAGTTCCTCAGAACAGAGCTTTAAACAGCAAACTTAAAATTTTATACATGCATATAAAAATTTACATTTGTGATGTAAAGCTTCCTGAAATAGAAAATGGCTTTCGTTATTTGCTTAACTAGAATGTACCAAACCAAACTGAGACTTTTTCCTTTGAAACACAGGAAACCCATTTCCATAGTTATTATATTCAGGAGTAAGTTATGATGTAAGGCAGACACTTACACCCTATACGTGTAAGGAGTAAGGCAAATGCCATAGGTATGACTTTTTGCTCCAACACTAAATTGTTCCAACTGAGAGTACTTTTTGGTCTGTAAATGACATTTGTTTTTTCTTTTACCGTATTAATGTAACTAATAGCACTCCTTCTGTATTTTTATAAAGATATAGATGATCATTGCGAGGAGCTTCCAAATGTTATCTGATGGCTCATTAGTTTCCCCTGTGGCGGCTATATCCATTGATTATCTCTTGAAAACAAAATTCTAATGTCTTCATATCAACTTACTCTGCCTCAGAGTCTGTTGTTTTGTATTCAAACTTTTGTGCCTACTATAATAATTTAGTAAAGACTGCTTAAGTTGTTCTATTTAGAAGGATTCTGAGATTGCTTCCAGCATTGGTGACTGATTAATAATCATTACCATGGGCTCTGTAGAAGTTGTCTGGAGTTTGAAAGTTATTTTCAATTCAATGCTAATTGAATCAACATTTGGTGTACAAATGATGGTCAAGCCATTTTATTTCAGGATATAGGCAATATGCAATTAGTAGAACCGAACTTCTCCAAATGTCAGCTGTGTGGAATGAAGTGGCCTCTTGAACATCAGTAGATAGACCATACCTCACCCCTCTCCTAGGTCCATTATAATAATACTGTCTTATGTTTACCAATTGGTTCATAATATTCAGACTCTATGGATTAACTCAGTTGAGCCTCACAAAAACCCTGAGATGTACACTGAGCAATATTATACTAATCAGTTTAAAGATGCGAGTACTGACACTCAGGATTTTCAAGCAGCTTCCAATGTCACACAGCCCATGCTTGAACATATCCTTCTCATTGCTGACCCTGAATTTCGAACCATTCACTGTGGTTGATTTCCAGCACATCCTCATTGAGAGAAATAAAGATCAACTGTCAACAATGTCCCTTGACCACACTTATGGTCAGGATATGTAGGCTTTATGAAAATACTTTGTTAGGAAATGTATGGGTATAGGCGAGAGGAATCATTTGTTTAAGATGTTGACAAACCATTCCATACTGACAAGCCTCTCCAAAAGTTTGCATGGAGAAAAACTCAGCAAAGGAGTCATATAACTGAGTTAAAAATATATCACATATATCAGATTTAAGGTACCTGAGACTATTAAATACACATTTTTGTTGAAATTTCACACTTTGTACTATTGAAGTTACGTAGTTTGGTGCTTACCAGGGATCTTCTTAGGGCTTGGTTGAATAGGAGCTATCTAGGCTATTTATAGTTTTATCTACAATCCTACTTTTTCCTGTTGCTTTTAAAGACAACTACTTTCTTTCATACTACTTCTGAGACACAATCTTTCCTTTGGGTCCCCAAATAGAAACAAGGCTAGAAAATCTTTAGGGTAAGATAAACCATAAGATACTTTTTTTCTTAAAAGTGAATGTATTTTGTACTTAAGTCATTAATATATCTATTTGCGATTATGTGCTTGAGTCAAGAATGGACTGTAAATCACAGACTCAACATTGATATTTTCATTTATTCCACAAGCAGCCAATGTAGCTAATATTTGGAAGACATGGTGATACAAAGAGGAATCAGTTATAAACACTGTCTCAGTAAGTTCACCATCTTATTTGCATTAGAAAAGTGGAGAAGAACATAGATAATTATAGCACAATATGTGGTCAGTGCATATTGGGAAAAGCACAGGCAACGTGGGAAAAGCACAGGCAACGTGGGAAAAGCACAGGCAACGTGGAAGCCGAGAAAAGGGCATCTCGGTCAGAGAAATGTGTATCCCTAGAGTCACGTCAGTAAGGAAAAGAAACAAGAAAGTCTCTTACTTGAAAGAGACGCATTCCCAGGCCACCTTTCCCTGGCAATCGGCCCTCTGATCTTGTGATACAGCCTCTTTTGTCCTTTAGAAAGCAGATATGGAAGTGGCACTTGGGAAGGGCATTCACTTTGAGAGCTTCTAGACACCACCCCCCTCTCCAAACCCACTTTTCCCCTTCCACTGCCCCCTGGGAATGACACTAGGAAGAGCAAAGGATTTCAAGAAACGAAACCAAATCAATCAAATGGTATATAAACAAACTTTCTTAGAACGTGGATACGCTTCATACTTCTAAATTGCAGTGTCCTTCCAGGATCCCTGGAGTAAGCTGGAGAACCATGTTACAAGTCTCGTTCTTCCATTCGCTGGTTGTGTCATTGCAAACAAGCACACTCAATATCTGCGCCTCAATTTTCTTAACCAAAACTTTTAAAAAACAATTGTGGTCATGCTTCATTCCCAGGGTTGTTATAAGGATCGAATGTCGTCATATAAGACTTATAAAAAGCCAGTGTGGGATATTTGCAATAGTCTTTGACTAAGTGTGCAGAAAATAAGCTTCTTATTGTAGACCTGCTCTAGTAGCTCTTACCACATCTTGGAAGGTGTCTGTAGCTCATACAAAATGTTAAGTATCGTTGGACTAGACGGCCTCGAAGGCTCCTTCCAACTTTGATAATACAAGATTTAGCAGTGACTTCTTTCTGTGAAGTGGCTTGCATAAAGCTAAGCACTTAGTTCTGCGATTGGATGGGAGACATAACTACTGCCCAAATGCTTCTTTCTTTTATATCTAGAGGCCCCTCTTCCCTCTCCGTGTGAGAAATTTTAGCGTGGTGACTGAGGACAGAAAGGGGTCACTCTCCGAGAGCTCCAGATGTTGGGAAAGGTGAAAAATGACTGCAGAGTCAGCCAGAAATCCTTTCTGTGAGGCAGAGAGCGAGGGAGGGGAATTTCAGAGTTGAGATTAGAAAGAAAACACAGCTCTCACAACCTGAAAAGTCGGCTAAGATTTCTAAATGTCATGTTTTTCCTCTGCCTAAATTTCCTCCTCTCGTTTATATTTTTATTTTGTTCTCCTTTAAATAGAATCCAAACAACTAGTTCCTTGGGGGACATTAAAGGGAGTTTAGACCAAGGGCAATAGGATAATCTGTCCTTTGGTTTCTTCCATGGGATGTGTAGGAGACCTAGGAGAGCTGAAATCCCCCTGCACCTATTTAAAAGGCCCCAGTGCTGTGTAATGTTAGGGGATTGTCCTGTAGATGGAATTAGACTGACTAGGATTTAAATTTTGATTCTCTCGCTTATTACCTGCATTACTTTGTGCAAACTGCTGAGTTTAAATTTCTTCGTCTTTAACTGCGGGCTGGCAATGTTTATATCTTAGGGTTGTTTTAACCATAAGTCCTTTGAAAACACTGTAAAATTTCAAATATCATGTGGAAGATTGCTATTATAAACACTAACAATGTAAATTGTATCACATTCTTGAATTTTTGGAGACCATTATTTCTTACCCTATTTTAGTTAGGTTTTTGTTTGTTTGTTTTGTTTTAGTGGTTTTTACATTGGTGTTGGATTTAAAAAGAGCCTCTACTTAATTTCCTCAGTCCAGCTTCCAGAGACTACTAGAAACTCGGATGCCAATGTTTAGTATCAGCCTGACCCCTTGTGGTTCTTTAAAGAACTGTACTTTCAAAAATATTCTGGAATACAGTGATACTTTTATGCCCAGATTAGCCATCTTTGCTCAGGGTGACTACAAAATCATTTAACTAAGCTGGAAAATGAACTTATATGGTCATTTAGTTAATTTAACTAAAAAGTCAGGAGTATTGATATTTTAGTCTAGCATTTTAGTTCTCCAAATAAACCAAACGAAAATTTGCAAACTTACATACATTCATACACATACCACTAGGGTATAGGACTTCATTTCTTCTTCCCTTTACTAAAAAATACTATCTATGTGGTTACACCACCTGCTTTCTTTTTTCATGCCAGTTTTCTAAAACTGTCCTTTACTTGGCTTCTACTTTTCCTATTTTCATACCCCTTCCACACTACCGAAACAGCTCCAAAAATGACACCTTTCAGGATACCTCCGTTGGCCAGTTATAAAACATTCATGATCTCTTTACTCCTTTTGAAACTTTTTTTGACTTTTGTAATATGACAATATGCTGGCTCTCCAACGATTTTTTTCTCTATCCCTTTGATTATCCTTTTTACTTTCCTCCTGAGTATTCATTATGGTCATTTTCAAGAAAATGTTATATACTTGATTGTCTCTTTGATGACACTAGTGAGTCCTAGACTTTTTCTTCTTGAGTCTTCATCAGAATCTCAAACTTTAATCTCTAATTGTCAGAAATATACAGGATGCTTTTTTAGTCAACATTTTGATTCATATTTAATATTCATTTATGTCCAAAATATAACTATTTTTTTCTTCAAACTAGTTTTATGTTCTAATTTTTCCTTTTTACATATTAGTACCATTCGTCAGATTCCTCTACCTACCCTCAGATTAAAACACTGACATTTCTTTCTCTTTGCAAGTGTTGCATTTTGTGTATTCTTTTAAATTTCAAGTCTTCTTCACCAATTTCAAATGTACTACCTATGCTCACTCTCAAGATTTCTTACCTGAACCAATGCAGTAAATTCTGCTCTCTCTGCTTCCATTACCTCCAAGTCTCAAAATTCCTCTTACACATGGAGACAAGTTATTTTACTTTAAACTGCTGTTTTCATTATATTACTTCTGTGTTTAAGAAGGGAGCATAGGAAGCACTATTATATATTTGTTCAGAAAATTGTACTGCCCGAAGCACTTTGACATGCATCACACAATGGCTTTCTGTTGCTGGTTAGAGGTAGTGTGGGGCCATGGAGGCTCATTTAATATGGAGTCAAGGGTCCTGGGATATTGACTGCATGGCTTTACTTCTGTTGGTAAACTTGAGTTAACTTAGGTCCTCTTTCTGGGGAATCAATTTTCCTCTCTGTAGTTAAGTTGTGGATACTGGTTAACATCTCCAAATTGTACTTAGATATTTTGTCAGTATATTAGTTATAAGTAAATCCAAGCTAATGAATAAAGATGAACAGCCCAAAACATGTTCCAATGAAGGAGCGTTATTTTACTAACTGTACTAAAAATCACCATATCTTTACCTTAAAATACAAATGAAAATAAAATTAGATATTGCAAAAATTATTGTGACAGAAAATGTTGCCAGTCATTGTTTCTGAGAGGTTTATTATGTTAATTTCAATCTGGAATATTCATTTAAATAGCTCTTTAGGGATATAGTAAAAAATAAGAAAAAGACAATGTAGTGAGTGATTCTAAATGTATTTTGTTGCAAGTCTGTACTTTAGACATCTACCATTGATGCTTCCTCACGGGAAGACTTCTTGGCATGAGACAGGTTACTGGAGTTTTGAGGAAATCTCTTTTCCTTTTTTCTTAGCAAGATCAGATTTGAGCAGGCATACTCTTGAGGTTAGTTTCAAATTCGTCCTCCTGGCATTGGGACTGCCCCTGTCCTTCCAGCCATGGAGAAGAGAAATAGTAGCCTTGATGCCATCTGAAAGGTGGCGCCTTCCCTGACCTTTCTATTTGAGTGGAAAAAAGACAGCAGTCTTGGCAAGGCAGGCTTGGTTTATACTGATTTAGATACCTAAGACCAGAGGGCTTTATCATTTAACACTCGTTTAATACTAGACCGTTGACTCTAGAACGTTATTTTAGAGATGTGGAAACAAAGGCAACAAGAAGGGAGGAGGCATCCTTCAGATCACACAGCCAGTGAATATTCAAATTAAAACTCATCTACATTGTTTCTAAATATTCAAGCACTTGATAGTTAGTGCTCCCCAGTGCCGAATAATTATTTAGAACACAGATTCAAAACCTCCTGCCTGTGTGATTGCTATTTAGTAAGTCTGGCATGATGATGGGAATCTGCACATTTAATAAGCATCCTCAGTGATTATAAAGCAAGCTGACTATAAAGTTTAGGCCCATCTAAAGGAATAGAATCCGTAAAAAGTAGATTTCAAATGAACTTTAGAAAACACTAAAAATCTATGAAACATCAGAAATGTGGAAATCAAATACTAAGGAAGGGAAGGGTGTCCCTTGTGTGTTAAGGGAAAATTGTGATTAAATTCTATATCTTTTCAATCTATGTATAATGATGGTCTTATATTTTACTACCTAATTGGATACAAAATGTGTTGGTTTATGTTCTTTCCTTGTTTGTATGTTTTGAACTTTAACATAGACATAGCTTAGACAATAAAGATAATTTGTTCTCGTTTCAATTTTCTACCCAAGATGTATTTAAATTTGAGTGAACCAGTTTATGTATACCCAATACAGAAGAGTAAACAACATTTTTATCTTCCCTTCGTTACTTTATTTCTACAAAGGAAGTAATAACCTCTGTCCAGAAATTGTTAATTATTAATCAATAACAAATCCTTTCATAGTTACCAAACGCTTCCACACAGTTTATGGAACTTAAATCTGACTATAGTTCTATGAGGTGAATAATATAACCCCCTTTTTCATAGCTGTGGAAGTTGCAATTCAGGAAACCCAAGTAACTTGCCCAAGATTACATGCTGAAAGCAGTGATAGAGCATGATTCATCCTATTTTTATTTATATTCATTTTACTTTAACAAAATCTGAGAATGGGTGTTTAGGCTCTTTTAAACTGCAAATGGTATAGAGAGATTGTAGTTAGAAAATTAATTACTTTCATTGATTTCTGCATTTGGCCTGCTTGTTCATTGTTTTTGCTCTTTTACTCATAGACAAACCTCTCTTTGGCCAGGGAATACCAACCAAGCAGCACTCAGGTCTGAAGAATAAATAATGCACTGACCTGTTCTCCTTGACTGAAGACACCTGCAAAAAAAAATAAACAAAATTAAATTAAAAAAAAATTCAAACACTGTACTTTTTCTATGTACAAAAAGTGGGATTTGTAAAATTAGGAAATCTTCAAGACTGGAATGATACTTGTTCTTGGTTCTTGGTCGTCTTAGCAAGTCAAGGCACGGTTGTTTTATTTTTTATACCTGTGCACCTCTTAGGGAGCAGTAGAACCTTGGAAGTAATGAAAGGGGATGGACCATGATGAGGTCATATTTCTTAGAGGTTGGAGTGTGATGAGAAAAAATAGTTTAAGCATCTGAGGATTCATGTTACAGACCTGGCCAACTCACTACTTTACTGTGGGAATAATCTTATCATCTCTGAAGAAATTGGGCTGTAAAGTCTCCTCTAACTTTGACATTCTGAGGTTCAGTGCATTTCCCTAAAGCCTTTGTTACAGGCATTTCGAGAAGGAACTATCATTGTTTTTTGTTCTTGCTTTTCTGCCCTCTATACTGGGTTTTAAAGACTTGACCCAAAGATAAGAACTGAGATTGAGTTTGGCAAAGACAAACTCAGTCTCAGTTCTATGACTCATTTCTCTTCCTACATCTCTCTAAATTCCTAAAATAGAAAAAAAAAAACCTATAAATACAGTCGATTCTCTCTTTCTCTTCATCTTTATGATTACGCCTGTAATTTTAAGTTGTGGCTAATTAGCTTGGTAGTTTAAAATACTGAAATAATAGAAGTCTTAGGTTTAATCCTGGTATGAGCTGAAACCTGATTATTTCTATGGAACTCCTAATGCCAGTGACACCTCTCAAGTTAAGCCCAAAGCCACCTTGATGACAGAAAGTGTATAAATAAATGTAATCCTTCTCCAGTGCTGGTCAGCACTTTGGGGAAGACAACTGGAAATACCTTAAACTACATCCTCTATTAATAGAGATGAGGAGAGGAAAAATAAGGCTTTTAAATTGGAAAGAAAGTTCATGATCGTCTGCTGTAGTGATTACCAACCTCATAGTGGCAGTGTGGCTGGTTATTAAAAATACAGATTTTTTATGACGATCACCTGAAAATTCCATTATATAAGACCAAGTGGGACCTGGAAGTCTATATTTTTGTAACCGCTCCAAGTGATTCTTATGACCAGGGAAATCTCATTATTACAGTTCTCAGCTAAGTCTTCACTGTACAAATCTTTAATCAGAAGAGATTTTGCTCAATGTCTTATATCTAGGAAATATCAAAGCAGAAGGAGGATTAATATCAACAATGGCTGAGTTCAGTCTAATAGTCTCATTATTAAAATTTATTAATGGCTATACTAATAGATATTTGTTGAACACTTACTATATTCTATTTATTACGTTAAGCAATTTACATACATTTTCTCATTTAATGCCCTATGTAGAGATATTCTTTTTGTATCCATATTTTACAGATAAAAAAATGAGACTCAGAAATGTCACACAGCTATAAAATGGAAATGCCAGGACTGAAACTTATTCCTCTTGGTCTCAACATTAAAGCTCTTAGGCATAATGCCTTCTCAAATACCAGCACACCTACTAAGGGCCATGTTTTGGTAAATTAAGTATATTAGTCAGCCAGATCCAATTTAATGATCAGTTCATCTTTGTAAAGAGAAACTATAAGAGGACATAAATTAATATCTGAGAGTATCTTAGCAGGTAAATTTTAATATAGTCACATCTATTTTTTATGCCATCTCAGCAATTCATAGACCCACTCATTCATTTATGTTGTTTAGTCTTAGTAGTCAAACTTACCCCATAATATCACAGGAATCCATTATCCAATTCTTTTCTTATTTCTAAATGTATCTGTTCATGTAAATATGGCCAGTTTCCATTGAACAATAATTTTTCTAGATGTGCAATCTCATTGAAAAACTGTTGTTTTTTGACATGTTCAGGCATTTAAAATCTCAGCTACAAAATTCGTTTTTGTTTTTGTTTTTTTTTTTTCACAGAAAAATGATAGACTAGACATGAAAGTTCCCAGGACTCATTCTCATTTTTAGCATTCTACAAATGAGAGAATGTCTCAGAGAGCTGAGCCATTCTCCAGTTGGTACAACCATTAGTGGAAGAGATCTTTGGTCTAGAGACTCTAGCATGTGCTTCATTCACTACAATGGCATAGAGTAGGAAAATAAAGAAGGAAAGAAAGAGTTTCAGTGGCCCTGTTCATTCAAATGACCTTGTGATGAAAAACATCAACTTAAAGTACAGTTGTCTTTTAAGCAATCAGAATTGATAGACTATATGACAATTGCTCATTAAAGCGACCAAAGATATCCCCTTACTTGAAGAATTGTTTATTTTACCAGCAGTATATATGTTTTAGCATTCTAAGTTTTAATAACTTTTTTTCTCAAGGATTCTCTCATTGAGTTTCCTTTTCCCCTTGTTTCAATTTTAATTATTTAATTTCCAATTACTATATAAGAATAATGAGAACAGGAAAGCTTTCCTTTGTCTTAGAAGGCAAAACTAACACTTAAAACAATTAGCCATTCCCCAGGCTACTTCTGTGAAACAAACATAAACTGTGATGTCTAGAAGATCTGATCAAATCCCAAATTCTACTTACTAGTTGCAAGTCCTTTAGCAATTTTCTTAACTTCTTTGTGCCACGGTTTTCTTATGTGTAGAATATAGATAGGAAGGCCTTGCTACGTGTATCAGAGATAATGGCTAAAAGCCCTTAGTACGTGCCTAGAATATAGTATATGCTCAATAAATAAGTTATTTTTATCATTATCACCATTTTCATCATCAAAATCATTATCATAATTATGATAATCTCTCAGAATTGGTCTTTTATATTAAAATTATTAGAATTTTGAAATATGGTGGGCAAATACACTTGTCATTTGCAGCTCAGCATAAATATTGGATTTCATTTTTAAAGAAAAAAAAACTCACCTGAGAAAAAGCAGAAAAGAGCCAGAGAGAGGAGCAGAAAGACACCTGATATTTTCATGGTGCCAGTTAGCTCACTCAGATCAAGGCTGCTTTGTCCTGCCTAGGTTCTCTGTCAGGACACTTCCCAGAGCACTAAAACACACACTCGGACATATATATAGAGAGAGACATGATAGAGGGAGTTGGGATCTCCACCTTCTTTATAAAGTCACATTCTAAAATCATATACAGTCCTATACACTTTAGGCATTTATTAGAACCTGACAACAATGTAAAGAAATGCTTCATGATCCCCATCAATCTTAAAATTAGGACAATTATGTGAGTCGCACCTTAGATCTTATTAATAGAGGATGTCATGCTCTTCGAGTAGACTAGATTTTCCTAACAACCAATACATCCTCCCTGCTCTTCCCTCTCAGGTGTCGCTACATTAAAGGGGTGAGTCACTGGTGTATATTTCTTTCAGACAGTTCCTACCTGTCTGTGGTCCAGATGAATAGCCAGAGAGGAATGAAATTCTGGGTGTAACTTGAATTTTCAGAGTCTACATCATCTAAGATGTACCTAAAAAAGACAGGTATTCTACATTGTCACCAGAACTGCATCAGAAAAAGCACTTTCTGGGCAAGAATTAGCCTGTTGTTTTTTTAAAATCATATTGTAGATCAAGTGGCATAATTTTCTAATTTTAAGTCAAAATGAACAAGGGAGGCAATGTATAAATTTTTAATTTGTAAAAAATATTTATTTTTAGAAGATACGGAATTGAGGAATATCTGAAACAAGCAATATTTAATACTTCCCCTTTTTCTGCAAAATAAAAAAGTAGTTAAGATAAAGCTCTTTATGTTTTAACTCCTTAAAAATATATTATTGTACAAGTGAGATGGATTTCATTAACTACCATGGCCAATTTAATTGCAAGGCAGATCAAAGAATGGGATGCCATAGCTTCTTTCGGGGTGAATGAAAAATAAATAAATAATGGTTATAGTAATAAAGAGAAAGTCTGTCTCAAATCATAAACAGCTACTTAAAATATGAAAGAAAATATAACAATTTAAAGTATGGGAAGAATATGCAAAATGTGCCCAATTTAAATGCAAGTGATTAATACAAAGTATGTATGAATAATTTGGAAATCATACATCTGAATAACTGGCTTTCTTTTAAAGTAGTCACTTTGAGAAAATATATACATGGTTAATATATTGTTTCCTCTATTTCAGGACATTTGTTTTCTTTCTGGAAATGATACATTAAAATTTTTAATCTGCTTTCTCTCAATATTTAGGATGAATTTTCTGTCTGAAAAGGTGAATATATTTTGTTGAATTTTATAATAAAAAATATTTCTGTTTAATCAAAAATAAAGCATGACTGTGATAAAAATAAGAATTTTTTAAAAATTGCTTCTCTGACGATTTTAAGGGACCTGAATTTAAAGGGTGGAGAGATGCACACGTAGGAAAGAGAGGAAAAGAATAAGTGAAAAGGAAAAGTACATATTTGGGAAGTTATTAAAAGGGTTTGTTTACATTCTAAGGTGGTGTGACAACACACTCACATATGTATAATCTTAAAGTCCTTTAACAAAAAGTTATAGGTCAGATGTTAGACACTGAAAGTTTCAAAGACACTAATGAACAAGCTTGAAAACCATATTCAAATTTTTCTTGAACACTTCATGGGAGGAGGAGTCTGGGAATATTTAGAAAAACAGAATCACTGGGAAATTGCTTAAGGAAAGCTATGAAATTTTCACATGACAATTTTGTCTACTTGTGATCTTTAATTATTTTTGCCTCATTAAATGAGATAAAATAAAGAGAAGTGCTTGGAAACTTTACAAGCTTTCGTAGGCTTGGCATTTGGGACTGCTGCTACCTTGCTCTGTCTTCCCCATTCCACTCCAAATGCTCCCTCCTCCCTTTCGCCTTTTCCCTTTCCTTCTTCCTTCATGTTCAGAATATATGAGTCCAGTTTAAGCCTAGCCTCACATCTCTCAAGTGGCAACAGTTCAAAGGCATTAACAAATAAAAATTAAAAAATGTAACAGCAGCAGTCAGTGACATTCCACCACAAAATCCATGGCGGCCTTCCTAAAATTTCTGTTTAAACCTCTCCTCATTTGTAGTAGTTGCTTTTCATACTTTGCTCTATACTCTCAAAATCACTGTTCACCTAAATGTTTCTCTCTTCATCTTCCATTTTATTCTTCCCTATTTCTTGCATCCTTTCAAAGCTTTTCTTCAGTGGGTGTTTTTGGTAGAATGATTCTAACCTTTTTCTGAAAGGTTTCAATTCTTTATCCTCAACATTTACCCTCCTCACACAACAAAACTTACGAGCTGGAAGACAAATTAAGTGTGGACTCTGGGCAGGTGACAGGGAGAAGTTATAATATAAAAAATGATATATATTTTAAGAGGTCTGGTACCTTGAACAATAGTTTTTGTTAGGTTTCTGAGACCATGTGAAAGGTTTTTTTCTTTTTTCTTTTTATAAAACATAAAGGAAAAGGTAAGAAACATTCTCTGGAAATCACTTAATTAGCTCCTTAAGTAAGAAGCAGAGATAATGGAAGGTTACAGAGAAGTTACAGGCAATTATTCATAAACATTAAAGATGCCATGTATAATTCTAGTCTTCAGGCTGCAGAGTAAGTAAATGAGAGCCGTTTGAATTTTGTTTTCTGTAACAATTCTGAAAGGAAAATAGAAAAAGTTTTAACAATCATAATATTTAAGGTAAGTTTCAATGACCTGAATCATGAAAAGAAAAAGAAACAGAGAATGAAGAAAAGAAAAGGAGGAGGTATAGGAGAAAGCAAGAAAAGTCAAGCCTTTTTACGGACAGTAGAATGAAGTCCCAACATACATACAGTTGATTTATAAAACTTAACCATGCACATTTTCTTTATGTAATTAAAGACAAAAACAGATGCCGTCTTAGGGGAAGAGAAGGACTAAGGAGAACCAGTGAGAAGGGAGAACCAGACACACACTCACTTAGTAGAATGTGAGTCCTTAACTCGAAAGTAGAATGCGAGTCCTTAATGAGAGAAATTTTATGATATTCACAGTACTTTCAAAACTCATACTTTCATAGAGATTAATAGGTGATCAGAAAATGTTTGTTATGTGACTGAAATGGAAATATCCTTCATTGCCAAGATAATTATTTTCTGTGATTACTGTAAAATGAAGAAAAGAACAATTAAAATGAGAAAATCTCACTTTTGGTACATAAATCTTAGCTTATATAAAATTTGATGCACTCTACTCAATATGTTAGGTCCAAACTTCATTAATGTCTTATCAGGGAAAAAAATAGACGTTTTAATTTAGACCTTAAAGGACATTTACCTCAAATTTTCATTCAATGCAAAATATGATCTAAAGTTCTCCTCAGAAATACATAGTACTTTTATACTTTGTGGTTCTGTGATGGAGAAGAAATCGCATAGGCTGATTCCAGATGGACATGGAGTATATAGTCCACCTCTGTCACAAACTGCATGATTTGAGGGATATTAATTAACCTTTATGAGTTTTAATATTCTTAGTAAGATGGCTTTCTGGGTTATTTTATGCATCTGATACTTATTTCTTTGACTTTCTTGGTTTGGAAATGACTTTAATGTTTTGTTGAAATTTCGTATTCAGCGTCTCAAAACTGTTTAGGTTTGAGTATGTCATCATGTTAGTGATCCCTCCCAATTTTGTATCAATTATAAATCCAGTAAACGTTTTCTTGATCATCATCAACATCATTGAAAAGTATTGAACGAAGTTATTTCACCGACTTATCTCCAAGGTTATTCTACTGAAATCAATGTTTATGTTTTTTCTTGCATGGTACCAAGTTCACACCCTTATGAAATACAATGAGGCATATTTGGCATGATTGCTTTTAAATAATCTATGTAGATTACTGATCATCCTCACCAAATGCTCATATTATCATATTTCCTCCACCCCTCAAAGACTCTATACCTTTTCCAAATAAGCTCTCCACAGTTTCTCATTTATTTTCATTCTATTTTTCTTCCTTAACTCACAGTGTTGCCTTAGCCTGGAATGTTCTTTTCTTTAATCACTGTGTGTCTAAATTGTACACGTCATACAGTGAGAGTCCAAATTACAGTACCTTTCACAGAGCATTTCTTAATCCTATAAAGCAGACATCCTACACCATTACATGAAGATGTACTCTGGATTGTTGATATGTTATATTTGGCCCACGTGATGGTTTTAAATTTTAAAAATAGTCCACAACTTTAAAATTTTGAGTATTTAGCAAAAAAGTAAATAAATAAAACATGAGATTTAAAAATATATATATTTTGGCCCTTCACTGCCAGGGCAAAAGTCAGTTTAGTGGTAACTGCCTCATTTAAATGTATGGTTCACCATATTTATACGGGCAAATAATTTCGACAAAAAAGCCAAAAACATACAGCGGAGAAAGGAAAGCCTCTTCAATAAATGATGCTGGAAAAACTGGAAAGCCACCTGCAAAAGAATTAAATTAGACTGTTGTCTATAACCACACACCAAAATTAACTCCAAATGGATTAAGGATCTGAATATAAGCCCTGAAACAATAAAATGCATAGAAGAAAACATAGGAACTAAACTCAAGGACCTCGGACTTAAAGAGGATTTTATGAATTTGACCTCAAAGGCAACGGAAGTAAAAGCTAAAATAAATGAATGGGACTACATCAAACTAAAAAGCTTCTGTTCAGCAAAAGAAATCATCAGCAAGGTAAAGAGACAACCATCCGAATGGGAAAATATATTTGCAAGCAATGCCTTCAATAAGGGCCTAATATCCAAAATATACAAAGAACTCATACAACTCAATAACAACAAAGAAACAAACGATCCAATCAAAAAATGGGCAGAGGATCTGAACAGACACTTCTCCCTAGAGAACATACAAATGGCCAAAAATTTTTGAAAAGATACGCAACATCGCTAGCTATTAGGGAAATATAAATCAAAACCACAATGAGATACCATCTCACATCTGTTAGAATATCTATAA